ACAACCCGTAACGGTACATTTATTTTGTTTGGTTTTATTATTTTTCGACCGCACGTACACAACAATATTGCCTACATATATAGGTACGACCCGGACTGCCGCCGCCGCCGCCGAGCCACACCCGTGTTTAAATTTTGTTCGGTCACCCTGCGGACACACAATAATAATAATATGACACGCACTACATCCTTTTCAGAGGATTCCAGCCGAAATCGCTCGAAGGACGGACCTCAGATGTGGCTGATCGAGTGTATGCACACGCTGCAGTCAGTGCCATGTACAACACACACATGCGACGGTTATAAACTCGCGTACCTGTTTTTTTCGACAATATCTGGCATATCATTTAGTGATAGCCGCTGATTATGATAGTTATTTACATTATAAACGTGTATAATATGGCCCATAAAGGTATATATATATAGTATAATATACATATTATGGTGCACATTTTATTGTAATATGTTTTTCGACTGCACAAACCAGTCTGAATACATAGTATATAATATACACACGCTGAACACTGCACGAAGACGAACCGTCAATAATCGGATATAGAGGTATGTATCTAATATATCTATAGTACGTAATAAGTATATTAGCATAGATACTTTCTAGGTGTATATTTGGTGTAAATTATAACCGTTTAAAAAATCATTTACATACCTATTTACTGTAGCCGTATAAGTACGCCTAGTAGAAACTAATAATTTATATTTTTATAATCTTCAATGTGACGGTGTGCGCAAAAGCTCCGTGAATAGTAATATAGTATTTCTATCGTCCACTGTCGCCGAGCTATGATGCGCATTAACTACTGAAAAAATATTGCTCGCCACTTGAGTTTTCTACACATAAAGCATATTATATAATTAACCGTAGGTGTTATTTTAGGTGTGCAATGTGAACAGTATATTCATATCAGATTTATTATTATAAACTGTAGGTATTTGCATATTTCTCGTTCCGTTCACCACGAGCGAGTCGCCGCACTCATAATAATGTATAATAAATAATTAACATCATGTTATCTCACGGTTAGCGTACAACAAGACTCGTGTGGTCGTGTGGATAAACCTCCGCCGGTTGTTTTGTGAATATCTCATCATTCTTGAACGAATAAATTAGACATTGTATTTTTGGTCTATGATAAAAAATCGTAAAATACTTGTATCTATATGGCTTACGATTTTTCATTTTTACCCAAAGAACATTTACAATTTACATATATTTAATACCACCATTCCTGTCATATGTATATATATATATATATAAGCACCGAAAAAAAAACTGCGGCGTTTATCTAGGAATTCTCTCGCTCAAAACTGGTATAGAAAAAACGCACCATAATATGATGTTTGGATCCAACATATCATTTACATATGGTTCATTATCTCGCACCGCAACAATAACATGGCGTTCGTTTTACACCGGTTTGGCCCTACAAATTTCCAGCCTGTGATTGCAGTGTATAGCATGCATGCGTTATGTGCACCACAACTGCATTTCATAATATATAATGCATGCATTTACGAGTCATTTCCGAGTGATACGACATATTATATTATAATACCTGACACTTGTAGTGCTTATAGCTGTTATTGTGGACGTTCTTGGTGCCGATCGATCAAAGTATATTGTTTTTCACATTATATTTACATTTATTTTAACTCGAGGTATAGGTATAAAATAATCACCCCGAATCGACCGAGATGTGGAGTCGCAGTTTCTCGTCGATGCGATTATAATATATTATTGTTGGTTATTTTTATTTCAGCGCCACATTATAATAACGCGGATGTGGGGTACAAAAAACCATTTAAAATACCGTAAAAACGCAGAAACATATTAGTCTATTATACTGTATACATATACCCAAGTACTACTACGAACTACGACTCTTCAATCTCTTCGACGGAGTGTTTTTAATCTCCTTTTGATAGTTATAATATAGGTACATAGTTTTCACCTAAATATCATTATGCTTACGGCCTTTTAATTGGTAATAAGAGGAAACCCACAGGTCGTTCGGCGAACAAAGACTCGTGACAGAAGCTGCAATCTGCGACACACACACACACCACTGCTGCAGTGTTTGTACATAGTACTTACCTACGTGTATATATGTATGTGTGTGTGTGTGTGTCTATATAAATATAAATAGTGTGTGTATATATCATATATATATGGTATATAAGAACCTCTGGGTGTGTGTAAAGGAAATGAGTAGCGCAATAATCGTAAAATACGTTTTTATTATCTGGGCCGAATTGCCACTTCTCGACGTTCCCCCGGCCATCGACTTTCCCCCTCCAAGCCACACGACGACCGTTTAAGAGCTCACCTCACACTCTGTCGGCGATATAAAACTATATTATTTGTTTATATAATAAAATAATAATATATGTATACGATATAATATAGTTCGCGTCGATCAAGCCGGGCCCAGTCAAATAACGGCGGCTGCCGCGCGCGTATATATTATATTATTATTATTATTATTATTATTATCATCATTATATTGTGTGTGCGTATTCTAAGTAGGTACCTATACTATATAATACAAACTTGTCATTTTTATTACGCATTAATGACGGCGCGGGCTATAAAAAAAAATTTTATGTCCAATTTTATTGCTCGCCGACGTCTCGGTGGTATATATTATTATTATTATTTTTATTGTGCATATATATATATACTCGCTTTATCGCCACGACCTACGGCACGTCTGACTCGGGTTGAGGTTGGTCGTCGACAGCACATAATAATATCATATTATAGGTATATATAGAACTTATGTATGTATATGTTCAACTTTTTATTTATGTACCTACACTACATACGAAATTCACATGCACCTCTGCTGTTTTGATACGAATCCAAATCGTTGTGTTGTTATAATTAACATTTTATGAGCTGCAGTAAATGCATTTCTAATATGTTATAATAATATTATGACGTGTAATATCAAAATCTTTTAATATATGTTAACGGAATTAATTATTGCAAGTGCATTTTAGTCCTTAAGATCGTAATGTGCAGCTGCAGCTATACACCTTTTGACTGAACACAACAGATGCATCATAATAAAATTATAATATTAGATTTATAAATGTATTCATACATGTGCCTGTGCCGTTATTTTTTTATTAAAAAGAGCGTGGTGTGCATTATGGGTAGCGGGGGTAACACATTATTTAGACTACATTAAGTATACTTGACAATATAGTGCCTATCTATCTATACATTATAATTTATAGGTACTATACTAAATGAACATAGTCACTAAATACCTATAAAAATACCAAATTTTTTAGTAATCTTAAGTTTTAAACCTATATCAGTTCTTCGCCTTTATATATGCCTGTAATTAGAAATTTCTAATAGATTATGGCACACGCATAATTAAATTCCTATCAAATTTCTCACACATATATTTATAATAGGTATACCTATATTATATCTATTTTTATATAACTATATGGACAAACATGGTCCTGAATTCTGAATCCATCAGATAACATCTCAAATGAATTACTGTATTATATACTTCTTATTATTATTTTTATTATTATGTACAAAAGTATATACTAATTAAAAACAGCTTATTGATAGATGCGTGTAAAGTACTTATATAGGTAATCATATAATACAAATAGGCCTCCATACGTGTTATCTCGGCGAGGCCCAGTAGTCTATAAAAAGATTTTCAATATAAACAAAATAATAATAATGATAATAATAATAATAATAATAATAATAATACACTCGTGCTATACCTACGCTATACATGATAACTTATTACATTATATACTAATTAGTAATTACTAATATGTACTAGGTACCTACTCATTTAATTTTTTACATTTTAAACATCTGCACGACATATAGGTATTTCATATACTTATTCAATCCATAGGTACTATATTTATCGCCGTGTATTTCTACTGCACATTTATATTGAAGATCTTGCAGAATATAAATACAGCGGTATACCTAATAAAAATAGTAGTAGGTAATGCCTAACAATTGTAATTGTAATAATATGTTATACAACACTCATTCAACATGATTGAAATCAAAATTTCAATTTATGTTTGATCATAGGATAAAATATTAAATAAAAACCATGAAACATGCTCTTCTGTGCTCCACTTTGCGGTGTGTTATAATACGGTACAAGTTTACCTTTTTGTTGACTTCAATATAATGTATATGTTATTAATTTTAAAACAATTATAGATACCTATGTATCACTATTGAACATGTGGTAAACGATTATGACCTGAGGCGGTCTAACAGCTTATATTTCTAAAGAAATAATTGTATTAAGAAGTATACCTATATAATAATATGTGGTACCAAACTAGGTACTGTAGGGCGTGGATTTCATAACTTTCATCTATGGGTTAAGCAAACATTTTGAAAATATTATTGTGTTTAGTTAATAGACGTACCAACAATGACGAAAAGTTTCAATCTCTACGAATAATGTGTTACAACCAAACAACTACAAAAACAGTTATTTTTAGTAATTTCTATAGTTTAATATAAGTTTCGTTTAAATATATAATTTTGAAAAAAAATTGAACTTCAAATGCACATAAAAAAAAAAAAAGACTACGTATGTATATTTGATATTTTTGTTCAACTAATAAGACGGTATAATATAATATAAAAATCTTGTATACCTACTTAATTTTCAAACTTTTAGACCGAACATCAATGATCAGCATAGAAAAAAATTTAAAGAAATTCATAATTAAAAAAATCCTCCTATAACTTTATAAAAGCTTGAACAAGTATTTATAAATAGTTAAAATATTTTGAAAAATAAATATCATTGTGTATAGAAAAAGATAATTTTCCTAGAATAGATGAGTGCATGTATAATGTATAATTATATACAAGGTATATCCTACCTATTCTACCTACATATATTATATACAGTGGCGTGGCGAACTAAAAAATTTTCAGAGGCAAGTATATTCTTCGATAACCACCCACCCACCCACCTAAGAGCCCATGACCTATTATTGAACATTAAACACTAGGTTTGTATTCTCTCTCTTAAAAATTGGCCTATAAAAACATTACATTTATGGGTTTGTGGGGAAATTGCCTCTATCAGGCAATTTCAAAACCATGTTATAAGATTAATCAAAATAACATTAAATGAGATAATATTTTTTAAAAGATCACTTTGGTGTTTAATAGGGTTAAGTAGCACAAATTACAATAATTAAAATATCACTTAATATTTTATTTAAACAATAAATTCTGCATCAAGAGATCGGAGGACTTTGCAAATATGTCAATTGCTTCATTACGATCAATTTCAATATCTCTTTCACAGCTTAATATAAGTAAACTTTCCAACCGATTCTGCCCAATGGTTGATCTAAGCCTAGATTTAACTAGTTTTACCTGAAATCATAATTGTGATGATTTGTATTTTTAGTAAAATTAGATTTTAAAAAACAATATTTGGTTAATAAAAATATAAAATAATAGGTACAGTTAATAATATTATTATTATCTACATTTTACAAAATTATTAGAACTAATTTATAGCTAAAGGTATTTGCAAATAAAAAAGACAAAAAAAAAAGTAGAGAATAGCCATAAAATATGTAATTAAACGCAAAATATGATTGCATAGCCACCAGCTTAGACATTATATGCATTGCACTTGTTTCTTACTTTGTCTTTTTTAGAGTTAAACAAATATAAAAATGCTACAAGTTTTTTGTTCTATTTAATAATAATGAAATAATAATTAAAAATTACCTTAGAAAAGCTGCGTTCAGCAGATGCGGATGATGCAGGTATGATGCACAACGCTTTATATGCCAAGTACAAATTTGGAAAGGCTGCTATTAAGTTGTGACTTGATAATAAACCCAAAATGTCTAAGCTAGACATTTTTGTTGTACTGACTTCTTCAATTTCAGAATCATCACTTATTTATGAACTAAAATCTGGTTGATCAGTCCTGTCATTATTTTTGTCATTGTATATACTTGTTGTTGTTGAATAATTGTCATTAAAAAGATCATTTAAGCTGTTGCTAAATGTTAAATATTCAGATTGTAATTTATTAGTATCAATGTCTATCCAATTCGATAATTGTTCAAACGCGCTACTGGGCAATTCACTTTTAGTTTTAATGGATAACATACGTTCCGGAGTAAGCAGGCTTAAATCTTTAAGAATTTCTTGAGAATCATTAAATCTTGTGTCAATTGATGTAATAATAGCATCTAAAACTTTAAAACAAACGTCACAGCGAAATAAATCAGTAGGAGATTGTAGCACTTCATCTCTGGATAGTTCACCAGGCATTATTTTCTTCTTTCTTGCTCTTACCATTTTGAAGTCACATTGGGAAAGACTGTTTTTAGTAGCAAATTCTTTAGCAGTATTAATTATTTCAGTACATCCTTCATCAGTACGCAAAATTTTCAATCTATTCTTAGCAATATTCACCATTTTGATAGCTTGCATGAAATCAATAGATTTTGATTGCAAATAGTTTGAAACTTCAGTGGAAACCGAAAATATTCTTCTCATCAGAACCAAAACTAAGATAAATTGGAATGATGTTATAACCGAAATGAAGTTTTTGGCTGTTGAAGTTGTATAACGATCTGAATCATTTGCTTTTGAAATATTTTCCAATGCTTTCAGCAGAGCAGAGTACTTTTCTTGAATGACAACCAAAGCTCGATCATGGGATGTCCATCTAGTAATGGAAAAACGTTTGATGCGACGCTTTTGTTCTCTCGGATTTAATATTTCTTGAGATTCTACAAAGGCAGCCGTCCGTTTTCTAGCTCTCATAAATTCAATTAAAGCGCCAACATTACCGAAAAAAGTTTTGGTATTAATGCAGCAATCACAAGTATCAACTATAACTAAATTTAGTTTGTGGGCAAAACACCAAGTAAACATTGCTTTTGGATTCTCCGCTTGTATACGTGTTTTCAATCCACTGTATTTGCCTTGCATAGAGGCAGCACCATCATATGTTTGAGCAATCATCTGTGTTTTCCAGTTGATATTGTATTTGTCTGTAATGCTACAAAACACTTTAAACATACCTAGACCAGTAGAATCAGAAGCAGTTTCTAGTGCTACCAAACGCTCTTGAGGTTTTCCTTCATCTATGTATCTTAAAATGACAGTAAATTGTTCTTGATTAGAAACATCTGTAGTTGTGTCAATTATTACAGCAAATTGCCCTGACTTATTCACTTGTTTTAAAATATCCTTTCGAACCATATCCGCCAATATACAAAGAAGTTTATTTTGAGTCACATTGGATAAAAATGAAAGACGGTTAATCTTGTTTTCTTTTAATTTTTCTAAATGTAACTTTAATATTGGATTATATGTTGATATAAATGAGCATAATTCTAGAAAATTACCTCTGTTGGTTGATGTATGTTTCTCGTTGTGCCCCCTGAGTGCAATATTTTGTCTTGCAGAAAAAATAAGAGCATCTATAACTATTGATACAATTTGCCTATTTTCTGCAACTTTTCGATTGACACGTTCATGCATTCCTGTGTCAATCCTTACGTTCTTTTCATACATTACTCGAGCCATTTCACTTGTTAGATGTTCTGGGAAGCTTTCATGGTTTTCTATTGTTCGCTTAATATTTTTATAATCATTAGACCCTTTATCTGCTAAAAACGTTTTCTTTGCCTTAGGCAGACCAAATAGCTTACAAGTGATGCAATAAAAACGGTCTTGTGAAGGGGAGTAGGATAACCATAACCGTTTTACAAATTTTCCATCTTCAATCTTACGGTGATAATAAGTTTCATGAAATGAACGCATAACACCTTGAGAGTCTTTCTTTTGTGGAAATATCTTGTTCTTTAATTCTAAGGCGGATGGTTGACAAGGGCCCAATGAAAAAAAATGATTTTTCAACTCATATGATACAGTTGTAGGTAAAATGGCTGGATCATTTGGGAAATCTAAAAAAAAAATGGTACAGTTATTATTTAAAGTAAATAAAAAATTAATTTTAAATTCTATTTGTAATTTAAACTGTATTATTATGGCTTATACAAAAATTGTTATAAAAGTTGTATATCTATTTTCAATTAAATATTTATTTTTTCAACATCCAAATTTGATATCAAACCACAAGTATTGTTTACCTGATGGATAACAACATAATTGAGAAGTATCTTCTTCAATATTTATCTGTGAATATGACTCATTTTGGGTAGCACTACATATTTGTACATCGTTCCCATCATTATTTAAAGATACATCCGAATCCGAAATACCTACNAACTTTATAAAAGCTTGAACAAGTATTTATAAATAGTTAAAATATTTTGAAAAATAAATATCATTGTGTATAGAAAAAGATAATTTTCCTAGAATTGATGAGTGCATGTATAATGTATAATTATATACAAGGTATATCCTACCTATTCTACCTACATATATTATATATATTATATATACTCAAATAGACAATACAAACTGTAGAATAATAAGGAATAATTATTACATATTATATAATATTATACATAATATTTATAATAACTATAATTTTTTTTTTTTTTTTATTGGTCTTAAGCTTCGGCAACTGAGGCCATTAGCTGTAGTAGGATTTGTATTGTAGGTTTGTTTGTATTGTATATTTTGGGACGGTAGGGGGGAACACGTGTGTGTTTGTTTTTGGCAGAATTTCGAATGGGGCACCCGTAGGTTTCTGCCATGCCCCGGGGGTGGGGGATGGCAGCACTTGTTCTCCGGTCACCGCGACTTGTCCGGAGAAAAATGCCGCCCGGTATAGCCAAGGATCGAACAGCGACCGGCTGCGTCGCAGCGGACGCGTCAGACCACTCGGTCACCTCATCCCCCAATAACTATAATTGTATTTACGAATTTGTTATACATGAAGTGGTATAGCTATACTATAGATAACTCATCCTATCATAATATTATATAATTATGTAGGACGTAGAGATATAACTACGTCTAACTTAAACAATTACAGTAGGTAATAATATAACTTGATTTTTGTATACATGTACCGTCTACTATTTAGTATTTAATTAGTTAGCACTGACCATTTGTAAATTGTAAATATACATAGGTAGCTATAAATCACATATACTAAAACATACTATTATTATGTTAATAAACAAAGTGTATATTACTTATGATTTATATATTATATAGTCATACCGTGTATAACTAAATAATTACAACAGTTATATAATAAACTATCTTCTCATTAGTTAGGCACTTATCCGCTTTACCTACTGTTTTTATTACTACTTTTACTTAAAAGTGCATTAATCTGCATGCACGCACTGCGTAATTTATGTATAATTAATTTAAATGCGTACCTATTAAGCTAAGTATAAAATTGTTGGACTTGGCTATAAATGCTATAGATACGCATTATATTTATGCGTAATAATTTCTACAATATTCACATACGTATACACATACACTACTACTTAATAGTACCTAATTATATTATATATTTCAATAATATAAGTATACACATTGAACCTTCACTTTTCAATTTGAGGTTCATTATGTTGTATACATACATAAGACGTTTGAAATAAATCATTTTATACAATATGTTATACACAAATATTAGGCGTTCCTATATGTATCCAAAATTTAAAATTCCCAGAAGTTTTCAATAGCGCCGGGAAAAACAAACAAACAATTAAGATACAATAACGGGAATTTTTTATTTAAAATCGATTTATATTTATGGTATAACTCGAAAATAAATGACTGTGGATACATAAAACATTCACTAAATGTGTATATTATAGCACTTCCTATAATAGACCATACAATTAATTTATACGATTGTCTGGACTTGCTACAAGATACGGATTCTGAAGTAGAGGACCTGATGGTAACAAAACATAGACGCCGAACCTTTTTAAGTCGTACTAAAAAGTTTTTTAGGATGATGTTCTGCTGCTGTGGACGCGTTGAGGAATAGTGTTCAAATTATCATTAAAACTTAAATGACTATCTATAATAGATATAAAAAGTAAATTTGTTATTTACAGTGAATTGCATTGATTAAATTATTACAAATATATTATGTTTTAAATGATTGATTGTAAACCATATAAACTAATATTTACGATTAAATTTAGCATTTCAAAAATAAAATTATCTCAGATATATTATTATCTTATATTTGGTATTTTTAAGTGCTTTGAGCAACCTCGTAAAGTTTATTAAATTTTTTCATACTTTCACAGTATCAATTTAATTATAAATAAATCAAATAAAAAACGTGAGAAAACTAAAAAAAAAATTTGATTGTCACCCTACTACTCGTATATAGGTATCTACACAAAATATTTTACAATACACCAAACTTCTGTACAAAACGAATTATCGTTTTGTGAGTCATCGAGTTGAAAATATACTTAGATGTTTACATCATCATACAGAACAGTGATTGCAGCAAGGTTTAAATTCACCGCCCCCTCACACCAATAATAATTATTTACCATATATAGCTATATATGATGAACGATACATATGGATGTCAAATGGAGTTTTTTCTCCCGCACATTTTCAGGTGGAAGAAAATCGATCAAACCATACAAAACATCAGCTGTTATTATTCGTATAATGAATCTGCATAATGTATATAATGTATATATAGGTAGGCTACTTTTGAATACCTATATAATATACAGTTACAACACTATACAACGTACATGTATACACATGTAGCGTTGGTTTCTTTTTTCCGCGACTTAAACAGGAGTCATCGGTTATTTTGTATTTTCCACTCGACGAGTTCTTTTTTGTCACACGTTTCCGAACGCAAACGGAGCCGAAGATTTCGCAGAAAAATCGCGTTCCTTGTTATAATATATATTATAAAAACCATATTGTCGTCGTACAAGAATTTTTCGCCATATCACGACAATAGACACAGCGTTCGGACAAAGCGTTTGGGCGGGCGAGCGGACGAAAGAAACGAAGAAAAAGACAAAAAAAAAAATGAAAGAAATAAACGAAAAAAATACCCACACGAAATTCCGCGCGGACGGCTGCAGTGTAGGTCGGCGGGACGCGGCGCGGAGGGGAACCGTTTGTCGCCGCCGCCGCCGAGGCACATTCATGGCCGCCCCAGACGCCCGTCCAATAACTCAATCGCGGGCCCCGCCCCCCGGGTTGCGCGCGCCTGGAAGCCATCTTAGCCGGGCGGCGCGGTGTGCGGCGCGCGCTCGGAGATCGATTCCCCGCCGACCCGCCGGCGACGGAGACCGACACCACTGGCCGCTGCGGCGCGTTCGTCGTCGTCGCGTGCCGTCGTGTGTCGTCGCCACCGGTCGGCCGACAAACATTCTTCTCGCACGCGCTTTCTGGCGGACGAGAAAACGCGTCGGTCTGCAGAATAATATTAATATTATGAGATCATCACCGGCGACCGACCTGCAGCTCGTCGAAACCGAGATCGTAACCCTTTTTGGGTACAAAAAATTATGATGAAAATCGACGTATAAACGCATAGAACAATATTAATCCAAAGCATATTATACGGATTTTCGGTGATGTACCTGCACGTCAATACGATATCGTATAGGTACGAAAAGGTATACCGCCGGTCCGTACCAAAGAGTATAATATATGTTGTGTTTATACCGCGTTCGCGGTGACTGTATTATTATTATTATTCTAACGAAGCGCAGCCGGGCCGTGGCGTTCAAACATGGCTGCGCCATCACCGGTGGTTTTATAGCCTCGTCGCCATAAAACCCGGGAACGGGGAAAAAAAAAAGGCCGTATAATACGACTTTCGCCGTCGTCGTCGGGTCTTTTATACACGAGTATTATATTATTATACGGCGGGTCCCTCCGCCGATTCTCTCTTACAAATTATTTTATTATTTTTTCGTCCGGGCCGGCCGAGGATCGTCGTCGTGTACTGCTGTACCTATATGCTGCAACGCATATACGACGATGACACGTCCGTACACGTCCGCGATCCGTCCGTCCGACCGTCTGTCCGTTCGTCCGTCAGGCACGTTTCATTTTCGCTCGTGTCCATATAGGTGCTGTCCGCAAAACCGTTTCGTATCGACGCTCACACCGTCACACGAGTCTATATGTAAGTATGTGTGTGTGTGTGTGTGTGTGTGTGTGTGTGTGTGTGTGTGTGCTTCTAACACTTCAAATAGTACACTTATATGGTGCAAACAGTCGCGTAAATGTACGGCGCGGTATATAGGTAAATACCTACGATTCGCGGGTCGTCCGTGGTGTATACACCTTAGAGCGCGTTTCGATTGCAGCGCTGCGAGCACTTCCGCGGTAAGTATCCGAAATAACAAGTCCGATGGGTACATATAGGTAGGTAGTATACATAATGCATTATAATTAGGTATGTATAGGACATATATAGATATACAAGCATATGCAATATATATATATATGACTTATAGTACCTACCTAACTTTATCGATGGTAACTGTTGGTTATAGGTAAACAATAACTGCAGTAAAGGAATATTCACAGCTACGTCGTACGTCGAGTCGTGTTGATCAAGTCAAATTGTGATTGGACATCAATCTTTTGATATAATGTAATAATATAATTAGGTTGTACTCCAACCGCGGAGTATTGCAAGAACTATATATAACTTAAGCTCAACTTTTAAACCATAATAGTTACTAGCTATAACCATATAGTAACCGCAAGTTGTCGCACCACACTTCACACAACGTAGCTGTGAATTCAGCTTAAGTATATATACCTACCTATAGGTATCTGCTATATCGGTATATGAGCAACCTGACATGGTTTACGCACCTCGTGTGTAACTGAGAGCTATATTATGACTATATATGTATTATGTATACATAACAGGTACCTCATATAGTTGATAAGCAAAACGCTTTTTGGGCAAACGACACTCTAAACACTCGTAAACAATACTGATGTCTGATACGTCTATTCAAACTTTTTTCGAGATAGTACATCAATATGTGATTTTTGTTAATAATGCATGTTTGTTCATTAAAATTAAACTCATGAACACATATACCAGTAATAGGTGCTTATGTACTATTCAGCATATATATTATATTATATGCTTAGGTATATAAGAATATTGTTATAATATAGCCTATAGGTATAATATCAGAGGTAAGGAAGGACTACGTCTCGTGTCTAACTAGAAGACATAAACAATTTTTATAAGTATAAAAAATGTTTTAAATATGTGCATTTTGAAAATGTAATAATTATTAATATCTTATTGTACCTATCTATAAACAATTGATAATTGAGCTATACTAATAAGTAATAACCATTGGGGCAATTATATATAATATGCAATATACTTTTGTAATTTACGATAGTTTCGAACATTTTTTTGTACATATTGCGAGTCTCTTCTATCTGACAGTTCCTGCACCGCTATACATATGTATATACACATTTACACGCTTTTAATGGGTCAACACATGATGTCAAAACGTCTAAATACTAAAAAGACGAAATCCTATTCATATTTTCGTAGATATAAACATAAGTTTTAGTTATTTATTGTGTAACGTTACTGTGACATATATTTCATCTAAATAATGAATGCCCATTACTATAAAATATTTAATACACATTTAGCACTAGCAAAACCCAACACCAGTTATTTATTTTCTTGTTTTCTCTTTTGTTTACTTAAAAACATGTAGGTAAATTATTTAGTTTCTCGGTTTATATCTTATCCTCGGTAATACTACCAAATTAAATTAAAGCATGACTGCAAAAAGTATATTTATAGATAAATAGAATAGCAAACTGCAGCGCATAATTGCTTGTACAATATATATATATAAGTACTTACGTATGCAATACAGAAGAAATAATTTAGACTATTCTTCCCAAGTTAAATTGCTACATAATATTAAATTCTATTAATACTTTATTGGATGTTTAACATTATAATGAATTATGTTCTACAAATAACATATTTTATAGGTTTGTGGCAGCTTTAATTAAAAGCTTAATATTAAATTAAATGATGGGTATTATAACTAAAGGTAAGAATATTATTATTAAGTATTAACAATAAAGTTATAATATTGTATAATTGTATGATTATGGTTATTAATTATTATATAATAATTATATATTATCCCGTTATATAATTGAACTACATATTAAATACTAATAAATACTACAAATCTCTCTATATATATACCTATAGCAAAATTTATATTATGAAGTACTTTGGACTTTAAACTTAGACAAAAACATAACAAATTAGTTAGGTTTTGACACTTTTGGACAATTTTTGTCGAATTTTGCAAGTTTAATCGTAAATAGTACAGAGTTATATATTGAGTAACAGACCGAAAAGTAAAAGAAATAGAAAAAGAATTAAAAACATATTTCAAATAATTGTGGAAAAACTTTGTAGATAGGTACAGTTGGCATTTTGTTGTAAATGATAAACCGGTAAACCATTTTTGGAACTTAAAACAAATGGAACAAGTTTTAATAGTAATACTTTTCCAAAAACTGTATATTAAGTACATTAGA